TAACAAGTGTGTGCATTTTATATTTATGGAGGGAAGGGTTCCTGTTGGATTGAAGTCTCCGCAGAAGAAGGTTCTATTACAGGATGACATACTGATCAACTTAGGCCACGGGTCTCCGTGACCATGGACATGCCTTCAAGATCTTCTGACATGGATACATGGTTTGGTGTATGGCAAGATGATAATACTGATATTCAAGACTAGAATAGTTCACAGCAGGATGTACCTCCACACAATGTGAAACTACTGCCTGATAATTCTCACCCAGGTGTTTCTGGGTCAAATCACAAAGTAATACCAACCTCCAGTGGTGAGAACTGTAATCATCCTGTGAGAGATCGCCATGAGTCAGATTACTGGCAGGCTCCAGGACCCATTAGAGATTATCAACGGAGACTGAGGCATAACACTGGCAGAAAAACTTCCTTTGGTCCTACTCCTGACCCAGAGGCTGTTTAACTGAGTGAAGGACACTTGGATACCTATAGTGCCATGTTATGTTACTAATGAGTTAAATTTGTGTTGTTTTGTTTCTCATTTGTTTTGTTTTATGGGAAAGAAGGGAGGTGTAATGTTTTACTGTGTTTTCTTATGAGTTCTGAGACAATGTCATGGTTTCCTTGGTTACGGGTGCTGTGCATGTTGCCACACAGAGCAGGAAGGGGGGTGGCACACAGCATGCTGGCAGTTAAACTGTGACCCGGAAAAGTTCTTTGTGTGTGTGACTGGAAGCAGAGGGTAGAGGATGATCTCTGAGGTGCTGCCAAACTATATGTAAGAACTCTACTCTAAGAAATAACACTGCGGGTCCCTGTCTGGGTATACAGCATACAGTATATATGGGAATAATGTATCTGGCCACTTATGAACATACTGGCAATCTCTGTTTTCCTGCCTGCATGTAAAGAGCTCTTCTCCTCACACAAGCTTGCGTAAATAAGACCCTGCTCACTACCACTCTCTCTGGAGTTATTCATTAAAAGGACCAAAAAGAGGGGAAACACTACAGGCAGGGACTGGAAAACTGGTCAGGATTGAAGGAAAACTAGATGGCACTCAATACAGGACAATTCTTGAAGAAAACTTGTTTCAGTCTGCCACAGATTTGAGACTGGGACAGGGCTATGACCCTAAATATAATTTGAAAGCTACGCTCAAATGGTTTAAAGGGAATCATGTAAATTTCTTGGAATGGCCTAGTCAGAGCCAAGACCTAATCTAGTTGAGAATCAATGGCATGACTTGAAGATTGTTGGAGCTGGAACTGGAACAATTTTGCCTTGAAGGATGGGCAAAAATCCCAATGGCTACATTTGCTAAGATGATAGAGACATACCCCAGGAACAGCTGCAATTGGAGAAAATGGTGGATCTACAAAGCATTGTCTTTTTTTGGGGGGGAGGTGGTACTTATACACACTCAGGATATCTGGGTTTTTTTTGCCCTAATTATTGTTTGTGTTGCAATAAAAAGTATTTTGTACCTACAAAGTGGCAGGCATGTTGTGTACATCACATGGTAAAAAAAAACACCAAAAAAAGCCATTTTAATTCCAGCTTGTAACATCAAGAGAGGCTCTGTATTTAAATCAGAAATTCCACTTCAAACTCTTAATCTGCATACTTCTAGTAAGCTCAGTGGTAAACAATATTGGTGCAAACCACCCAGTATGGCAGCCATATAACTTGCATTTCCAGAATAGGTTAGCAATGGGTCAGTTGTATTTGTGTAGTGAATAGAGTGCTGGTTTCAGAAGCATGTAACATACAGCTTATCATACAGAGTTCTGTGGTCAGGAATATGTGACAAACTGCTCAGTGTACAGAGTGCAGAGGTCAGGGTTATGCAATTTACAGCCCAGCATACATAATGCAGTGCTCAGGAGTATGTACAATAGAGCCCAGGGTACAGAGTGCAGTGGTCATGAGTATGTAATGTACAGCCCAGCATACAGAGCGCAGGAGTCAGAATTACACAATGTGCACTCAAGCATACAGAATGCAGTAGCCATAAGTATGTAACATACATGACAGTGTAATGGTTAAAGCTGAAGTTTGGCTAAGGGGTGGGGAGTGGGTCAACTTTTGCATACTCTTTCACACTGATTTGCTCTGCATCTGGGGTCTGTACAGGCACTTAATCCCTATGCAGGTAACCCTGTATAGCCACTGGCGAGGCTACCTGCACAACCAAGAAAATTAAAAACCTTAACTTTGCAATGACTTCTGCATAGGTGTAAAGTGTACATGTAGCTGAGCCAGATCCCCAAGGAGGAAATGTGGAGCATGTACAGCAAATGCCCAGGCCTAATGATGCCTCTGCCTCCATGTATCTTTTTTTATTATTTTCAACAATACAACACAGTAGTGATTTTATCTAATCTGTCCGTTGAACATACAAATAATATGTCTGTGAAGGTTCTCATTCATCCAGGTCATGGTATATCTGTAAAAAATAAGTGAAGGCAACTGGACGTGCATTACAAACAGAAGAATTTGTTCATCCCATTTGTAGCTGGGGTGTCTGAGAAACGTAGAAAGGTTTTTAAAAAACATCACATCCCTGTCTGCTTTAAACCCAGCAATACACTGAGGCAACAACTGGTTCTTCCAAAAGACCCAACGCCAAAACACAAGATGAATAACATTGTGTATGCAGTTCAGCGCAGTGAGGAGTCCTCAGAATTGTATGTCGGTGAAACAAAACAGCAGCTACACCAGCGTATGGCACAGCATAGAAGAGCAAAACCCTCTGGTCATGATTTGGCAGTATTCCTACATCTAAAGGAAAAAGGTCACTCCTTTGAAGACAGTCAAGTACGCATCCTAGACAGGGAGGAGGACTGGTTTAAAAGAGGTGTGAAAGAGGCCATTTATGTAAAAATGGAGAAGCCAAGCTTGAATAGAGGTGGGGGGGGGGGGACATATTTTGTCTGCCACGTACAGCTGAAATGGTGGTGTGTGTGCCATTTCTAAGAATTGAGTAAAGCCAGAATAAAAGGTGCCTAAACTGTCCTTTTCTGAGGCATGTATTTTCAAAGGGGTGTGTTTTCTCACTAAATTCTAATGCCTTTGGAGGCATTAAGGTAGTTGAACCTGTAGCTATGTCCACCAAGTAATGGAGCCAGTAGGAGAATGTGCACCTAGGTCAGCCTTATCTATGAATCTTTGATGTTTGAAGAAGAGTCCTTCCCATAGAGGACATTGTAACGACATTGTAATGACCGCGATTTCTGAAATTCAATAGTATTTCCTGCTGGGAATTTGGGGTTCCCTTGTGGGGGGGTCAAGTTAGATTCTTGAGTACTGATGCCTTTCTTTTTGTGTACTGCTAGAAACACTTTAACCATGGTGCTAGTAATAGGATAGTTTTTGAAAGAATTGGGGATATCCCCATCTTTAAGTCAAATGGTAGAAGATAATTGCCTAGTAAGTTAGCTTTGTTCAATGTCTGTTCAGGTCTTAGAGGGAGCATAGAAATGCCACTCTATAAACCTAGCGGGGTGTACGGCCTGGTAATACTAGCTAATGTCTGGGATGTCTAGTGCACTATTCAATTACGTTTCCTTAAGGCCACTGAAGTCTGGGGGTTTTTTCAAGCCAGACAAAATGTGGGAAGTCTCAGTCCAGCTGTGTGAAGAATTATCTTTTAATCTGGATATGGAGGAGGTGCAGCAATCCAGGTAATATATTTATTTTAAATAATGCTGTTATGTCCAACCAGGTAAATGCAATATTTCTCCAACGTTGAAGGTCAGAATGGACTACATTTATCTTTTATGGCATGTTTCTTTTATATGTGTTTAAATTGAAAACATTTAGTTTACGGTAGCCAAAGTGCATTAGATTCTGTTACCAGCTTATTTTATCTCATAGCCATGCTAATGATGGGATTTACCTGTAATACCTACATACTTTTGTCAGCGCTCAATCACAGACGGCAAGCACAAAGGTGTCATTCGCTTACAGCTCAACCACACAGTTATGCATTTTTTCTATTCTACCAAGAATGCATAAAGGGACCATGACACCACATGATGTCTGTTTGTCTGCAGTTTCTGCTCAAATGGGCACAGCTGGAAATTCTAATAGAAAATGTTTCAGAGACATAAAAAGCCAGCATGTAAATCAACTTGCCAGAAAAAACAGTAAACCAACATATCTGTTTTCAATGGTGATGGCCTTTGTATTCAAGAATTATTTGTAAAAAGAATGTAGCTTCATTTACTTTGAATATTCAAATCATATGCATGGAAAATAATACAGTTAAAGTAATATTTAAGTCAAAAAGACCTTAAGCTATTTCAAAGGCTGAGGAAATCACTTACAATGGACAATGCTTCTTGATGTTTAAAAGTTTTAGTTTCCTGCAGAATCAGCTGGTCCCCAATACTCTGGTCCTGATTATAGAGTGACTCCTTTCTCAAGCAGAGTGCTATGCAGCCACCTTTGTGGGTGCTAGTGAGCTGTGTGTGTCTCCACAAACACACAGATGCAGCAAATCAAGCTACTCCCTTCTCTCCTGGCCCCCTCTCCTCTCCCTTCCCTTCTACAAGCTATTAGATGGATGTCTGCTGAAGTCTGCTCTGTGCTTTGTGATCTTGTAGTGGACAGGAAGTTCAGGGAAGGTTCAACTGGAAGAAACTGAACAGTACTACACTAACTTTATCGAAACCTTTAAAAAAAACTCCAACATACACCTTTATAAAGAGATTTGGAAGCAGCTGTTTAGAAACATGATGATTGTAAGTGTTTGGGCAAAAAACAGATCAATGCTTTGCTGTGCAATATATATTTGTTTGATCTGGATTCATTATTGAAAAAAATGTGAGAGTTTAATACTACTTTAAGTTAATCAACCCCCATAGATTCAGTATGTGCCAGTATAGCTGTAGTTGCACCACATATTACAAAGCAAGTCAATAGTACTAAGCATCATGCAATTTGTAAGATTGAAGGTGAACTTTAGAGGTTTATAATTATGTTAAATAGGAATCCTACCTGAGATGAATATGAATGCCCATCAGACCCACATACAGGACTTGTATACGCAACCGGACATTGCTTGCAACTCGATGTTAGGGGAACACCTCTCCAGTACTTATAAGTTAATCCCGCTTCTTTCATGCTGTAATAAAATTGTATCGGTTAGATCTGCTTATGAAAGAGAATGAATAGCAAATCCACACTTGAACTGAAATTTTCCATTTAAAATGCTGCATTTTAAACACGAGCCATTAGTAGTTTGCATCATTCATTTTTACAGAACAATTCAGTTGAATTTGACTAACTATCACTAACACCTATGGCATGAGCTAGATAAATAGAACCATCCCTATACAATTCTAAACACTTTGGCCTGCATTAACAATTAGTATATTATTAAACATGTTATTTTAAACTGTCAAAATAACCTGCCTCTGAAGCTTCCTATCAAAACAACCTTTTTTTTTACTTTCCAACAACAAACTTCTTCTGGTGCAGTTACATAACTTCCAGTAAGCAGAACAGCTTAAAAGGATTGATTAATGTTTTTTATTTCAAGACAGAAAACTACATTTTTAAATACACTTTTTTTGGATAGGTAAATATGACATATTGCAAATTAATATTATTCCCATTCACAACCAGCAGTTGGAGTTGAGTCAGAGCAGTGACCCATTCTACCCCTCTCTGTTGCATACAATTGACTCCATGTGCATTTCCAAATAGAGAGAAGGAGCCTGTAGGCAAACAGTGTTTGCTGTGCTCTATTTTTTAAAATGCCATAATACTTTGTTATTCTTGTATCATGATTGCACCATGTATTAGAGTTTATATACGTAGTAAAAAACAGATGCAAAACATTATTTTAAAAACATACACACAAACAATATTTATAAGGCATCAAAATGTAATTAAAACATGTGAATATATAAGCCAGTAGTCCAGTTATGAAAAGAAAGCTATTTCCAAAAACAAAAATATATTATTACAATAGTGAATATAATTATTATTATTATACCGCCATATTCTTCAACAACTGCCTAGAGAGAAGATTTTAGGACCCCTTTTTGTATAACAACTTACCAAACATTTAGTCAGTGTCAGTAGTCATGGCACTAGTACTATAATGTGAGCGGATGCAGAGGAAAAGAGTTGTTGATGTCACTGAAGGGTCTCATCTCTAATTCTATGAGCTGTAGTGGTACCAGATATGGCAAAATAACTGCAATTATAAAGTGGTACAGTTACCACAGCCCACAGAAACTGTTACCCAGCTTTGCATGAAGATTTTATGGATGATACATCAAGAAGTGCCCAACATTTACTCACTTTAGATGCTTCATTTGAAATGGGTCTTCCAAAGATGGAACAGGAATGATGTTATTAACAGATAGCGACTATAGTTATTGGTGATATCAAAGAAGACATGAGGGAGAAATCACAGCGTTCAGTGGGTAACCAGTCACCTGACACACCTGGAAAATTCTTTGACATCAGTAGAGAGTACAGATTGATGGCCCAGGCAGTAAGACGGGAAAGTATTCATTGTATTGTCCTAGAGGCACTGCATTGTTTAATTTTTTGGGGAAGCTACAGAGTACCTTTAACCCTGATGATCTGCATCTGCATTATGATGTTATGCATAAGTTAAACCGTAAACTTTAATGGTTTGGGGACAATTTTATTTATTTTTAGGTTGATACATGTTTTAAATATTATACTTTTTTTAAACATATAATACCTTGATTTTACAAATAAACATTTAATACAGGGTGTACTGATAACAAAGATCTGCTTCTGGATTGTCGCTTTCTAACTGAAAATCTGTAAAGAACTGCACAGAACAAGCAGTTAAAGCAAGAGTTAAGTCTCTCTGAAAAAAGAGGGGGGATGCCCAGAGCTTTTACCCATATTGTGCTAGTATGCACAGCATATAAACACATTAGGGCCATCCTACCTGCCAAAGCGATGCCCTCCAGTGCTACAATGTCAGCACTCTCTTCCCTCACAGGTGATTCAGTCTATGTCCAGGTCTTCTTCCAAAGTCTCAGGCTGAACGATTGGCTATACCCAGATAACATGACTCCCATCTATGCACATGGGAGTTACTTCATTTTGGAAAGTAATTTTGCTGAGACTATGCACTGAGCTGCACATGCAAGTCTTAGTGTGCACAAACAAAAAAAAGTGCAGACAGAGAGATAGGAGGATCTGCGACAGAAAAGACTTGCACAGTCTCTTCTGTCATAATAAGCCTGCCTGTCAACACTTTTTCAATATTTTACATTACTCCCACTTTAAGAAAAAAGCTGAGCAGCAGATATTAGCCATATAAACAGAAAGCTCATATTCTTTACTTTGCAATTATGAAGAATTCTTAAGATTTAATTTTTACCTCACTCAAAAATGTACAAATATCCTATTAAATAATATTTCTAAGATATGTACACAAAGAAAATATGTTAAAAAAATATAATTTCCTTTTAAACAAACTAAACTATAACATAGGAAACCTTTAAGAATACGCATTTCTGATTATGGTATCTAATTTGTTTTATACCAGCATATACATTATATTTTCTATTATAATTATTGTTATATCAGTCATAATTAAACACCATGGGGGTGATTTACTAACCTAAACACACACACACACCAGGTGTGTGTGATTTTCACAGAGCAAAACGTATTTATCAACCAAAAAGTCTCTAAAAGCATATTTCCACTAATGCCATATATGGAAAAATCATGCACATGATGCATATATAATGCTGCTTCACAGTTTAGACAAAAATGGTTAGCTCATGCATTTAAATTCCTTGCATTCATCAACACAAGCAACACAACATAGAGCTAATTTACACAGCATCACCTTGGAATTCCTTCAGGGCTTTGCACAACACACCTGCTGGGTGTGTACACATTACAAAGGTGTTTAGATTCCACCCATAGATCATGCTGGGAGGGAACACACTGCAGAGGTGTATACACTTTCGTGGTGTGTTTATAAGGTTAGTAAATCAACCCCCATATGTCACAGAAACAGTTTAACTCTCACATGGAGAATTTCACATCTTCAGCACAAAAAAGGTAAATCATTAAGTGGCAGAATGCTCATTAGTTTCTATAGCAATCAATATTCCCAGCTGGTGTGATATTACAATAAAAAATAGTATTGCTAGCATTTTGACGACATCCCTTGGGAGATTATACTGGCATGAGCAAAACCATTTGAGAAATGTTGGTGTTATTTCTTGGAGTATTATGCAAATACTAAGTTTCATTAGTGGATCTCCCAGGGAACACCTTCATGATATGAATGTTCACTTATCATATTGAAATATAAACTGAAAGAGGAAGATAACTAGAAATTAAAATGTATAGGTGTGTACCCATGCCGTTGATAAAATACCCAACTGCTTTTATTTCTGAAAATACATTTTTAAGATATGTAGATAGACATTTGTTGATTTTTTTTAAACTTTACAATCTTGAGTTGAAATTCAATCTGACAAAAAATATTTCAAATTGTTTTAATATTTGCTGTAGGATTGGATATATTGATTTCATTTATTAGGCATAACTGGCTGGTGTAAAAGGAAAACTGAAAATCCCATGAATCTTTTGGACCAATTATTGTACTATCCCTGGCCAATACCCAATCCTACAACTTCCCAGCATTTCTTGAGACAAATATCTGCACTTAAAGGGAAACTACAATTGTTTTCAGGCAACATTTTTAAAACAGTTTTTGAAGGTTTACATGCAAATACATTAATTGTTCATGTCTGTATTTTCATTGATTGTGGTTTCATTTATTTAGCTGCACATGTTATGAAAGTACATTAACAGCAGGTGATTTAGGTTTTTCACAGCACCGTAGTAAAATGCTGTGCATAAAACCTAAATTGTGATACTGGCTTACTGAAAGTGATAAATATGAAATATTTGATATTTACCTGACTAGAGACAAATAAGTAACATTTGACCTAAGTACACATGAAGGAAAATTATACAAAACACTATGGGGGTTGATGTATTAAAGAAATGTTTAGCTAGCTTAGGAAACAATTAAATACACAGTTTAATGTGCACATTTACCTTGCTAACTATCTATAAACCTCTTTTTTTGTTTTTTAGCAATCAACCCTTATGCATTTCCTAAAGTTTCAACCTGCTGCTCAACTTAAGTATTGCAGAATGACCTTTACCCTTTTGATGCCAGAGCCATTTTTTAAAAACGTTTTTTCACAGATGGAAAAATGCACATTTTCTTCCTGAAGATGACATAAACCCCCAAATTAGATATTTTCTGAAAGAAACCCTGAAGAAAAAAAATGGCAGTACAGTGGAGGCACACAATATTAGCTCAACTGTTCATCAAACCCATATTTTCCATAAACATTTATTCAAACTAGATTAAGTGCACATAAACTCAATAAAATACACATTTCTTAAAATATAAAATATGAGGCTGGGTGTGGTAAAATGCTATCAACCTTGATCACACTTTAAAATGCCTTTATATCTCACATTTTAAAGTAAATAATGGCCCTAGAATTATTGCTCTCACCTCATGGTGTGCGGCAGTACATCACATGTGTGGCGCAATCATCATTTTAATATGTAGGTGAACCCGAAGCCTGCCTTTACTTCAAAGTGTGTGTGTCTGGTGACAGGAGACTTAAAATTTATTTATTTTTTTGGCCATATCTAGAATAAGGGTCTGGTATGAATTTGAAGGGGGACCTCACAGCATTTTTTCTTTTAGCTGCTGGGCATGTCACCTGGTATGTTTCAGAAGAGGGGTACACGCTCATTACTCCCTAGTTTTCTAGCCACCCAGGTTGCATGTTTGGATAAGGGAATAAAGCTCTGGTGTGGGTGTTGAGGGGTCTGGAATGGATTTTTAAGGGGTACTCCAATAAAAAAAACCTATAAAATGTGGTAAGGTCCACTTCAAAATCAATACAAGACCCTTCTCCTAGATAGGGGACCTGGTATGGATTTTTAAGGGGGACCCATGCAAAAAAATTAAACACAAAATCAATACCAGATCCTTATCTGGGCATGCACTCTGGCTCACCAGAAGGGGCAATAAGTGTGTCCCCCTGTCTGAGGCATACCATGACACTTGGCTTC